TAATGTAGGATCAACATTATATACTTATTAAGATATTGGAATAATGGTAAATGTTATTTATTATTATGATTTACCGTTTGCGGGTTAGTTGTAATAAACTATTTACCCTTCTAGAATTTAATTTCATTAGTGGATACCGTAGTAATTTCATCTGAAGATTAATTTATCATTGTTAATACTTTAAGAATTATTCGTTCTTTTCAAGAATCGTTGTTTGACAATGAACACTTCGATGTTAGTATTTAGGCCAGGTTTGCCACCGATTATACATATTTACAAGATTCTGTATTTCGATATTCGATTATATACAAAATACAAAGGTATTTATAGGACCTCACATGATAGTAAGATCCTAGAAGCTGTCCGAAAGTATGCTAAAATAGGTAGTTGTCTGATCGGGGTAAGAATAGAACAATAAAACATCGTAAAGATTTCTATTAACAGTTTCCTAAGAGCATTAACTGGTCGAAGTAATTTCAGAATTTTTTCTGACTCTTCCAAGGAATTATTGAAGACTTCTGACAACACTGAATTTCAGTGATTCTACAGATGTAAATCAGCCACGGAAAATTTTCTTATTCCCGTGTCCAAATAGCCACTTCTGTTTTAACACCACCTTATTATCAAATACCTAAACAATTATTAGGAATTAACGAGCAAACCAGATAAATCATGTCACTAGATCTATAAAAATGTTGTACGTTCTATGGTGTTGATAACTGACAGAAAACAACACAATCCTGATAGACTTTATAACATGACTTTTTTTGTTTTATCTTAAGGTTTAGTTCGATTTGGTCTATCGTAACTAAGAATACAAATGGTGAAGAAAGTTCTAACGAGGATAGACTATTGGGAACTCGAAAAGGCAGTAACTGATACGCACCTCTTCAGCGATAATCCCCAAAGATGTAACCGAATAAGATATTAGAAGTGCAGAAGGCAATTTGATGTTTACAAAGACAGAATCAAAGTGAAACAAGTCTCTGTGAAATCAATAAACATGACCGTGATTCAGAAAAGTTAACAAACATCATGCAGAGAAAATTGTACCTATAATTATCGTTGCAAGAAAGAAATAACGCATATTCACAAGGAACCAGACAACATGGATTTCTTCTAGCAAATGGTACCAAAGTCAAGCTGTATGATTCAATCTGCAAAATTCAGTTACTGAACAGATTTTAATTATTACATCAGTCACTGTATATATCTAAGTGTTGAATGAATGAAACAATATAGGACAGTTTGAAAAAGATCCTGAACATAATTTTATTTAAAAAAATACTTTCTCGTTGTTTCTATTAGAGACTAATTAATTTATCTTCGTTGTTATATGTTGTGCCATCAGTGGATTATTTTTTATCTTATCCTTTGATCAGTTTTCATTATATTTGAACTATGACTGGTAGTAAAATCCAAAACCCTTGATTTGATGCGAATAGTGTGGCTTACTGATGACATACTTGTTTACAGCATAATTAAGATAAACATGATTTAAATTCGCTTAAGACGTAAATGATTATTGGATTGTAAAGTTGACGGAACCTTTTTCACAATTCATATAAATTTTCTTGTTACGCTAAAGTAATTTTAGTTAGTACTACTTTGGTGCACCTTTCAATAGCACAATATTTACAGAAAGCTATTCATTCATCTAGCTCAACCTCTGAAAGTAACGACTTAAATCTTAATGATTTACTGATGACAGCCAGCGAAAAAGCTTTGATTTTTTTTCCTAATACTGTGGAGTGGATGATTGGGGATGAATATGTTTAGATGTAATGCTAATGGGTAACAATTTGTTTGCGACTTTGTATTTTATCCATACTGTTCTAGTTTCACAAATCATCTGTTGACTACATCTTACTAATTATAACTTACCATGTATTTATTGCGCAAATAAACTAACTACAATACCCAGCGAATACTTGCAGTTAAGTTTAGCACGATGGAACAATTGAAATGAGAAATTTATGGTCGACTTGAATTGACTCAGAAACGAATGTCAGGCTTAACATTTATAAGAATCTTCTCTAATCTTTCTGTATTCCCCACTAAACCTAGATCATTTTATAGATACCCTCTTTTAAAATTCTTCTCGATCCCCATTACATTCTAATGCTTTCATTTTCTTAAGGCATTAACTTAATCTAAATCTTAAGAAACTCGACAATATTCACTATCCATATTTACCAATAAATACTCCATACTCATTTATCGACAATCAAATCAAAACCTATCACCTGGCCTTATCATAATCCAAGCTCTAATATTAATCATATTGAAGCCTATATTCAATGACTATTTGAATGATTGTGTTATAACTGTGAAAAATAATGCTGCTGATTAAGGGGTAGCGAATTATTGATCGGACCAAAGACGCACAAACACGTAGAACGGCCTAGGGTTCTGATTAGTCCCGCTTCCCTGTCTAACCCAGCCAGTTAAGTCCAGAACACAAGTCACAGCCTCGGATATATGAATCATTATATTTCAAACATACTTTGTTTATATACCAGTCAAGCAGACCACAACGTACCATAAAATAGAAAATAACATTGTACAATAATGGCCAGTAGGAAAATGACACGTTAAATAAATATTGACCAATAAGATGATACCATTTCATGTCCAAGGATAGCATTAGGCTTAACAGGATAATTTTTGGGATATTTTCCTGAATATCCCAACAGATTGTAATTCATATTTATTTACAAATGAATTTATGTTCCGATTTCATTGAGATTATAATTGACTCCAGTTTAAGGTTAGATAGAATCACGATATCGATCAGATCGACTAGTTCTCCATATTCATAGCATGAAGAATTACCCCGAATTGTTCAGTTAAGCAGATTTAGCTATCTTGATTATTCTAAAACTAGTACCATTGAGAATCATGATAGTATGGGACATTTTTGTCCAAGATTTGAATATATCTTTTTAGTGGTGTAAGAATTTCTTTAGTCTTGAGAGAAGCATTTTATACTTCAAAGTTCATTATCAGAATCTGCTGTATCATACATTTGCGACAAGATTCTTTACATCAGTTTCCATCGTAATAAATGATCTTTTTTTCAAAGTAATAACTTTAGGATAATTAAAGAACCAGGAAAAACCTATATGATCTGAAAGTGAATGGGCAGCCAAATCAGAATAATGAGCAGTTACAAACTTTCTGGAACGAATTCGGATTTGTGTAAACAGTATGACTTTGACTATTTATCAGTCATAAACACCAGAGAACCTGGTATTCGGATGTGAATACAAATATATCCCTTAAGAATTAATCAGCTTTGGATTCCCTTTTACTTATGCTATTAGTCCACTTTATTGGTTTAGAAAAAGGATCAATTAACTTTCTGAAAATAACAGATTGTTTTCAACAAGTTTATTCAACAATTTATTGAAAATTGGTCGTGTGAAAGGTTTAAAATATTGAAACATAGCCGACTGAGATCCTGATAAAACTACAAATAAATGTACGAGTAATTCCGTACTGGTATCAACTATACGAGTCAAATCTTCATTCTTTTAGACAAACCGATTGGTACGATTAACTGTGTTAGATTCCATTCGAGAATAAATTCCAATTCCTCTGCGTAATTCGTCGGGATGAAACTCATATATAAGATTGTGTACTCAGATTTAAGCCTTACTTTAAATGTGAGGGTTGTCAACAAATATCCAGCTGTCCAAATTGACATAAGTGGAGAAGAGTCCGAACCAGCGAATTATAGGTTGAAAGAAGGCTTTAATCATTAAGCCACTGTTTCTAACAGCTTACAAAATACCCTAGTAAAAGGTTATGGTTTCTTTATAAGTTAAAAGGGGTAATTATTGGAACCGGAACTTTACTAATATTCCTGTAGCGCAGAACAAAGGTTATTAGTCACCAGCGCCAACATTTTTACATTAACATTCATTTGATCGAAATGCAACGAATTAGGTTATCAGTTCTCTACATTTTCTCCACACATTTGGTGGTTTTGGAATTAGTCAGTTAACTTTTTGGTACAATGTACTTCAATGTGATCATATTGCAAAACACGATCATTTGATGTCAATGTAACTTAAATTTGTATCGGTCAATACAGTAAAAAAAAGAATGGGAATTATCGAAACGGAAAAGTATACACTGAAATCGACGTACGCCTTCCGTTCATTCGCCATACATAAAAAAATTAGAAGAAACTTCTAAAGCAACTGCTTTATAACTGTGTAAATACTGTAACAAATCTTCATCTTTCAAAACTATTTAAACCCAATTATTACGTACGTTAAGTTCGTACATGTACTCAATCATTTCTATAAAGAGCTTGAAACCTATAACAGAGCTAACTATTGCATAATAAAGAAAGATTCACCAACACCATCACAGCGATTGACATATTCTGTACCTTTTGTCCTTTGAATAAACGACTACAATCGGATTCATACATCAAGTATAACATAAGATGAGAAAAAATGTCAAAAACGCCAAATTGCTTGAAAGCACTTGTGAATGAAGATAAATAACAGCTAGTTAGTGTTTAAGATTTTTTAATACAAATTTTTTTATTTACAAGTTGAATGAATATAATACGGGAAGTTGTAGAGATATTGCAGATCTTGTGCTTGTAATTACTTGTTATAATCAAACATATGGTATCGAACACAGATATTATTATGAAACTTCATTTCAAATACTATTGAAACATCACGCATAGGTTAGAGACAAAAGCGGTTTATTCTACTAAGATTTCCAGGATAATCTTTCTTATTGGGAATATGAAAGACTATTACGCTTCAACATTGAAAAGAAATTGATAATACACACACAGGGACAGAGAGCAATGATCATAGTCTAAACTATTACAAGGAGCAGCATCGCTGATCGCTAATATTGCGATGAAATGACGCGATATTCTCACAAATCAGAAAACTTTTATGGTAAGACGTTGTATTAGTTAAACAAAGATGAAGTGTAATATTCGCTTTATAATGTTCAGTTATTGCTTAACTAATACAACGTCTTGTTATAAAATCTGTCTGATTTGGTGGTGGCAAGGTTGAAGGTTGTGATGATGGAGTAGCTTCCTGATTCTGTAGCACGGAGAAAGATGTGGCCTGCTGTTGATGTTGAAGGATATGTTGTGGGTGAGGTTGGGCAGCGCAATTTCCAGGATTGTTTGTTGGAAATCCAGATATTATACACTGGTTGCTACCAGGAGTGGGGATAGAGGGATCAATACAAGTTGAAGGCGGGGGAGTAGCAATATTTAGTGGGACACCGACAGGACCAGGGAGTGTAGATGTATCGAGATAATGTCTGAAAAATGGAGATGAAGTAGGTCAAGACAAAAAATCTTACTGTGAGATGGTTTATAATGCACAAGAGATGTAAAACTGACGTGTTTCTGATGAACACAAACATCTGAAAAAAGCAACGCTAGTCGCTACATCAACTTAACAGAACCACTTGAGCTCTTTATACTCGAAACGATAATCAGTATATTTAAATTGTTTCAGCCAAATTAGATAATGATAACATCCTCCTAGATAGTAATATTTTAGTGTTCAAGGACATTATTGACTGCACGGTAATAGAATTCTTACACAGAAAATTAGTGAAGACAAAGCTGAGTATTAATAAAGAAAAGATTATTATTATTATGTATGTACCATTTAAACTTATGTTAATTTAATGCGGTTATTTATTCACTCTGAAGAAGTGGCATACATTGAGTCACGAAACGTCAGAAATACAAATTTTTTGCTCATTAGGATTATAACAATGATCAGTTTATTCAAAGCTATCAAGTCCAGCATTGACATTGATACATACTATATCCTTCATATTAAAGCAAATTAACGAATATTTACGAATTGATATAGTAAGCTAAGTAGTTGTGTGAAAGATAATGATCTCATTCAACTTGCTGAAACCGTTCGGAAAGAACAGGTTAATTGAAATTTATGTAATCCTGCTGAAGACTGTCAAAATAAATCACGATAATCATGATAGCCAAATAGGTGGAAGGAATTGGTTGTATTCAATAAAATATATGACTGGGGAAAATACGAATAGAACAAATGAGCAATTTTAAACTATAGGTGTTATACACATTACACATATGAATGAAGTTCTATATAGTGTTGAACATAATCAATAAAAATGATTGAGAATACAATTGTAATATTATATGTGTACATTAAAGGTATTCAAGGGAATACTTACTTGAGTTGAGCTTTAGGCTTAAGATAATCATCGTTGCTAAGTTGAAAGACATCCGGTCGGAGATCTTTTCTATACGTACAACACTTTCGAATAAATTCCTAAAACAATAAAAAATGAAATCAGTGAACTAACAAAAAAGGAAAAAAACTTGTAAGAATATTTTAAACACAATTTATTAATGAGAAAATGTATCATGAGACAACTTCAAGTACTGGGTGTAAACTTTGGTAAGACATGAGGCAAATTTTAAATCGGTCATTTGTGATAATATTGCTTGCCTAAGCACAGAATTATTTGGCGAAGTTGTACATCACTAGTGTACAAAACGCCAGATTAATGAGATAAAAAATTGTCTCGAACAATATTGTTACTCAGTCTATCTATTACCAATAAAATATCAGTGGATTTAGAAAAATAACCAAATCATAATCACTAAACTATAGGCTGTGCTTTGACTGTATTCCTGATGAAAAAAAGATGAATTGTTTTTTGTGTCCTGTATATGTTGGTCCACAGATTTAAGTTAAATCCTATGGATTGATAAATTTAACTTTGTTAACACTGACTTGAGAGATAAGAAACTCTGGTTAGTGGAGAATGATTGGTCATAGTATTTTTCCGATGGTCGCGAACAGCAGATATTGCACGGAAATTTAAGCAGATCTATCCTAATGAATGGTAATAGGTCATAATCGGAAAAATCTTGTAAGTTACCAACCGCATCAAGATTTGGTTATCTAATACACAGAAAACAAACAATGAAGTAAAAGACAAGGATGAATGACTTATGTGACGTACTACTAACTGAAACGAAAGTGAGCTAAGCATGTGAATCCAACACGAGAAATTCTACAGTAAGTGAGCAAAACAGGCTTACTTTTGCGCCGTCGCTAACTTTTGTAGTGGAAGGGAATACAATGGATCGTGCATGGAGAATTGTATTTTCGTGCAAAATATCAGCTTGGGACATATTATGACCGAATGGCTATATATTGGAAAAAAATAAACGAAAAATGTATCTATTGTTTATATACCAGTGATACTACTTCAATATCAGAATTAAAAAGAAAAGTGGTTTTCTCATCATGGAATGGCGTGAAATGAATAAACCAGAAATCACCTGACAATTGATCCATTTTGGTTTGGGACTTCTCAGCAATGCATCATATGGGAAACAAACCTGAGGAACTTCAATTTTCGTGACAAATACGACACATTAGACGATTATCAGAACTCAACTTCGATCGACTAGCGACTTAGAGATGATTATTCAATGATATCGCTGCTATAACTGTGTTATATCGATATGATTGGTCACCAATTAAACAGCAGAACTGCAAGGATTTATTTCAAGGCTTATCATTACTAGTAAATAAATGGCTACACTTAAATACGTCGTTTATGGGGTTTTAACTCAATTTTAAAACTTTTCTGTCTAGCTATCTAGTCTTTCTTGGCCTTCAACTGTTTGGCAACTGATCATTTCTTCAAGCTAGGTTATCCGATGGAAAGATAATGCTGTCAATAAAATGTAGTAGTTAGAGAAAAGGTAGGCAGTATAAATGTAAAATAACTAATTAGTTTTTAAGAACAATAATAACTTGTTGAAAATAAGTGGGAAATTACAGAAAACTAACTTTTTTTCCAAACAAACACTGAAAGAAAATTACACCAACAGACCATATATCCACTTTTGAAGATATTTTTGGAGGTTCCCGCCCTGTCTCAAAACATTCCGGTGGTAAGTACCAATAAGTGCCTGCTCCTTGGGAGGTTAAATCCATTCCAGTCTCTGGATTGTATTTATCTTCTGTCATAAGTTTACTTAAACCAAAATCCGTGATTTTGATTTCACCAGCAACTTGGCCGGAACCCAGTAAAATATTACCTGTAATGAGTTAGTAAAGTAGTAAGTAAAATCACGCACAATATAACCATTACGGAAATTCATCACAATGTTTCGTTTTGCCTGAAAACATTTTGATGAAAAAGATACAAATAATCATAAGCGTAGAAGGAAGCACTGTGACTTATTATGTATTTGCGTCTCATATAAATGAAGATGTATTAGTTTGAATACGTGTAACAAACACATAAATCTCACTTGTTTATGGAAACAATGCTACACCGTCAACTCGGTGCTTAATACTTTATACATAAAAATGTTATTCTGATGGAAGAAATACTTATTTTATTGGCTAGTTGACCTGCCTTTCGATAATAATTCATCCAGAATTAATCTGTATTGCTTTTTCTAATCTTCCCATTGACGTTTAAAGACTGTAATTGATTAGTCTCTTTTGATAGATTTAGATCCTGTTTGGACTGCCTCGACATTGACGTTTAGTCACGAGGATTTCAGAGATAGATAATAGCTAGCAGTGGAATCCATATGTAAGAGATGGCAGTGAAACTAACTGCGCAATTATTTAGGAAATTCAAGTGCATTTCAAGTCATAGCGTTTTAATATACATTACAGAACGGAAAAAATAATCATAAGGTAAGCGCAGATTTACAACTGTACATACCTGGTTTCAAGTCATAATGAATTACTGGAGGTTTACGTTCATTTAAATATTTCAAAGCAGAAACCACTTGGCATATAATCGACTTGGCTTCACGTTCCGGAATACTTTTGTTTTGTTTAAGAAAGAAATCCAAGTCATTACCTTCGCTGTATTCAAGTACAGTACAAAATCTACAGAACCAAAAATATACGAAAGAGAGTCTAAGAATATGTGATGATTTCAGGAATAAGCAAACTGAATGACATATTTGTATACTGAACGCGAGATGAATGAAAATCATAAGGTAATGGTCAGAATTAGTCAACAAGAAACCCTGAGCGTAAGTTTTGTGACATATGGCACTCGTTAGCAAAGTGTATCTAATGCTACCTGTAAGATTTGACCCCGTGTCACCCAGCTTTACAGTCAGAGACGTTACCACCTAGCTGTTTGGGCCACGACTGACCTGTAGGACTGAGATGCAATAACCATTTGATAGATTATTGAGTAGTGACCAAGTTCATGTATCTCAAGTCCATCTTGGTGATCGGATTCTATCAACCAATTTGTAGTGTACCACTAGTCTGCGTGACTCGAGATCGTGTACATTATGTTGAGATGTAGCACGAAACCTATGTTCAGAGTTTCTTGAAGACTACCTCTAACCATCATCTTGCATCTTAATATATTGCACAAGAAGTCGTCACTTAGACTAGTGGCTATATCGCAACTTGATCGATAGGATCCGATCAACACTAAGAATTTGAGGTATATGAAATTGGTCACTGCTCAGTGATCAATCAATGGAGAATGGAAATTATGTACATGACCCGAACTCTGAGACTACTAGTATTAATATTTTTCATAGAACCTCAGTTCTTAAGTAAAATACAGAGAGTGGATAATAGTTAGAACCACAGTTAAAAGTTGATCATTTAAATAAACCAGTGTGAAATTCTTATTTTATGACTATATTACTTATTAGTAATCATGGTTCATCCCCTTTACTGGTATATCATTGGTTAAATTAAGTATTGACAAAATGACTATGCTCTTTTGGTTGTAAAGTGTTTTACATGGACAGCCGTATTTAGTTAGTCAGTCAGCTACAACGTAGGACCAGGCACATATGTGCATCGGCCCAAGTTGCCATACCTCATCAGCACAACAAGATGAACACCTATCATTTTTACGTTTGACTGGTTTACAATTGACTTTTGTTTTTGTCCTATGATCTTGAATGTAAGATAAAGTCGAGCTAATTATGATTAATTATAGAACAACATATATGCTTGATAAATACTTATAAATATTTCTGAGTAACCACGACAATCTTCTGACTTAAATAGACCTCGGATGTGTTATTCAAGTGAATCTGACACAGGATATATTTACACGAAAACATAACAAGACCTTCATGAAGCAGCAGTTGTGATGTATTAAAGGTGAATAAAGTGAGTATGTGGAGATGAACGTTTGCATAGAGCATATTACGTTTAAAAATTGGCTAGAATACAATACAAAGACAGTTACCATCAACTTAGGTGTAGGATGCTGGTCAGAACAAAAGCAAGTTGGAATATGAATAAAGTGCAAATCAGTAGACACCGCGGATCTATACTATCAATAACTGGAGGTATGAATTATTTAAGTCTAGCACAAGCTACTTGAGGTCTGATGAAGAATCCCAACAGATTATTTTAGTTGATGTAAGCCAAAATTTTCAAAGTAATATCATTCCATAATTCTCTACATTTGGTTTTTTCAACGTTTTTAAATATCTTGTATACAGCAGTAATTACTATTCCACAGTCTCCATTCCATTTTCGAAATTATTTTTATATTTTTATGATCACTTATTTTGTTGCCGATTTTTTGTGTTGTAGACGCTGGCTTTGGGTAGTTGTACGAGAACTTTATTTAATTTTTTTGGGAAAGCTTTTGATCCCCTTAACCGTGAAATCACAGTGATTTCAGTTGAACTGCTTTAAGCTAATATGTTCAATTTCAAATGCTTATACAAAGTAAATATTATTTTATGAAGAATATTTCAAATAGGATAATCTACAAATTTTTGTTTGAACTTTAAAATTTCATATTATATTTCCCACACCAAATATTATTTACCGACTTCATTATGAAGTCAAGCTGACTTAAGCCTTATATTGGACAAGATTCATGGTTTAGTAGGCGGTATTAATTGACAAGGTTTTCTCTGTAGAATAGTGCCCATGCCAAATGTGATTGTAATCCAGTATGAGTTAATGTACACTAAACAAATTTTTTTATCAAATTATGTGCTTTGTTTTGAATTTATTACCAACCGAGACCCAGCATCGCAATTTAGATTGTGTGAAATAGTGACTATCAATCGAATGTAGGATACATGTTCCTCTTAGTATAAAAACGGGAAACGATAATGAATAAGCTTTCGTGTATGCAATGTTAAGATATGAAAGTTGACAATTAAACTTACGCATCATGATCGATATCAAACACATCGAATACTTTTACTATCCTCGGATGGTGTAACGTTTTGTGAATCTCAATCTCTCTTAACGCATGTCTATAAAAAATATTCGATTATTTTCAGAAAAAGAAATTAGTTAACATCATATTACTCAAATAAAATTAAGTAACCACTGACTCTAAAATAGCTTGCGAACACTAAACGGCATGGAGAAAACCTTTAGGAATAAGCAGATAAAAAACAAGCTTGTCTATTGATAAATAGATGCGTTTGGTGTTAACGTCAAATTTCATCACTTAAAAAATGGTATAAACAATAAAAAAATACTAGATATGAAACTAAAGGTACCCCTACCTCAATAACGGCTGACTTATTAGAATTAACTAAAATAAAATTATAACATCGATCAGTTCATGATTTCAAAAAAATTCAACAATCTTCACGACCCCATATGGACAAAAAGTGTTCTAGTTCAAGCAAAATAATATTAAAGGAGACAGAAATGTAAAATACGGAATACTTGGACTATATTGACGATCGTTAGAAAGATCACGCGATAAACCGGAGCCAAGAAAGACATGAAAATTCACATTATATATATATATATATATATATATATATATATAAAGACGGTCAAGCTTCGAGCCACAGTGTTTTTCACAACTCTGGTAAAAACGATTGATTCAAAAATCGAAAATGTTTCGGAAAAGGAAAAACACGACATTTTGTTGAAATACTCGAGGTTATTAGCTAACAGCGATCAGAATATTACTTACTTACGCCTGTTACTCCCAATAGAGCAATAGGCCGCCAATCAGCATTCTCCAACCCACTCTGTCCTGGGTCTTCTTTCCTAGTTACATCCAATTCTTGGTCATTTTCCTCATGTCTATTTCCATTTCTCGGCGTAATGTGTTCTTTGGTCTTCCTCTTTTCCTTTCGCCTTGACGATTCCATGTGAGGGTTTGTCTTGTGACGCAGTTGGGTGCTTTCCTCAATGTGTGTCCTATCCGCTTCCAGAGCCTCTTCCTGATTTCTTCCTCCGCTGGGATCTGGTTTGTTCTCTCCCACAGTAGGTTGTTGCTGATAGCGTCTGGCCAACGGATCCGAAGTATTTTCTGTAAACAACTGTTAATAAACACTTGTATCTTCTGAATGATGGCTTTCGTAGTTCTCCAGGTTTACGCCCCATACAGTAGAAGCGTATTGACATTTCTGATCTTGATGCTGGTTAACAGTTGTTTTGAGTTCCAGATGTTCCTCAGTTGTAAATATGCTGCTCTTGCTTTGCCGATCCGCGCCCTCACATCTGCATCAGATCCACCACGTTCATAAATGATTCTGCCCAAATATGTAAATGTTTTTACATCTTCCAAATCTTCTCCTTCAATTGTGACTGGATTGGTGCATGCTGTGTTGTATCGGAGAATCCTGCTTTTCCCTTTGTGTATGTTGAGACCTACTGCTGCTGAGGCTGCTGCCACACTGTTCGTCTTCTTCTGCATTTGTTGTTGCGTTTGGGATAGAAGGGCCAGATCATCTGCGAAGTCTAGATCGTCCAACTGCATCCTAGATGTCCATTGTACCCCGTGCTTCCCCTCAGATGTTGATGTCTTCATGATCCAGTCGATCACCAGAAGAATGAGAAAGGGTGAGAGTAAGCAACCTTGCCTAACACCGGTCTTCACTTCGAACGACTTTGTCAACTGTCCTCCATGCACGATTTTGTAGTGTAATTCATCATACGAACTCTGTATGATATTGACTATCTTCTGAGGTACTCCATAGTGTCGAAGGAGATTCCATAGTGTTGTTCTGTTCACGCTATCAAATGCTTTTTCGTAGTCAATGAAGTTGATGTAGAGAGATGAATTCCATTCAATTGATTGTTCCACAATGATCCGTAGAGTTGCGATTTGGTCTGTACACGATCTATCCTCACGGAATCCTGCCTGTTGGTCACGAAGTTGGGCGTCTACGCAGTCCTTCATCCTGTTTAACAATACCCTTTTGAAGACTTTTCCCGGTATTGAGAGAAGAGTGATGCCCCTGTAGTTATCACACTTGCTGAGATCGCCTTTCTTCGGTATTTTTATCAGAACTCCTTCTTTCTAGTCTTTTGGTACTTGTTCTTCATCCCAAATCTTATTGAAGAGAATGTGGAGTATCCTTGCAGTTACTGCTACGTCTGCTTTTAGTGCCTCTGCTGGAATGTTGTCTGGTCCTGTTGCTTTTCCACTCTTGATTTGCCTGATGGCCATGCTTATCTCCAATTGTTGGTGGGCCAACATTGATTGGGAGGTCCGTGGGTGCTGCTTCGATATTGGGTGGGTTCAGTGGGGCTGGTCGATTCAAGAGTTCTTTGATGTGTTCTACCCACCTGTTTTGTTGTTCTTCGATATTGGTGATTACCTCGCCTTCCTTGCTTTTCACTGGTCGTTCTGCTTTGCGGCGATTTCCAGAGAGTTTCTTTGTCGTGTCATACAGTTGTTTCATGTTTCCTTCTCTTGCAGCCTTTTCCGCCGTCGTTGCTAAATCTTCCACATATATACGTTTGTCGGTTCCGATGCTCCTCTTCACTTGTTTGTTTACTTCTGTGTATTCAGCTTGTGCCTTGGTTTTTTCTGCTCTTGTTCGACTGGTAATGATTGCTGCTTTCTTGTTCCTTCTTTCTTGAATCTTATCCAATGTATCAACAGTGATCCATTCCTTATGATGGTGCTTCTTGTGACCCAGAACCTCATGGCATATTGAAGTGATTGCCTCTTTGATCCCATTCCAGTTGCTCTCTATAGTAGTTCTTTCTCCATTGAGTAGATCATGAAAGGCCTGGAATCTATTGCTGAGGACTATCTTGAATTTGTTGAGTTTGTCAGTATCCTGAAGAAAGGCTGTATTGAACTTTTGTGATATTGTCCTCCCCGTTGTCCAGTGCTTCTTGAGTTTCAATTTCATCTTGGCGACCAGCAAGTGATGATCTGATGCTATATCAGCTCCTCTCTTGGTTCGCACGTCCTCCATCATCCTCCTGAACTTTTTGTTGATGCAGATGTGGTCGACTTGGTTCTGTGTAGTGTGATCCGGTGAAGTCCATGTGGTTTTGTGTATGCGTTTATGTGGGAATATGGTGCCGCCTATGACCAGCTTATTGAAGGCACATAGGTTTGCAAATCTCTCACCATTTTCGTTCCTTTCTCCCAGTCCGTGTCGTCCCATGATGTCTTCATATCCAGTGTTGTCCGTTCCAACCTTGGCATTGAAATCTCCCATCAGAATGGTCAGGTCCTTTGTTGGTCACTTCTCGATGATTGACTGCAGCCTATTGTAGAATTGATTTTTAGCGTCTTCATTGTGGTCGTTGGTAGGCGCATAGCATTGGATGATGTTCATTGAAATGCCCTTTTTCTTTGTTTTGAAGGAGGCTTTGATGATCCTTGGTCCATGAGATTCCCATCCTATAAGTGCATTTTGTGCTTGTTTGGACAGCATCATTGCAACTCCTTGTGTATGTGGAGCATTTTCATGGCCGGAGTATAACAAACCAGAATATTACTATTTTAATATTAAAATGTCCATGTTGACGATGTGAGAAATTCTGTTTACAATAATCGAGATACATAGATATACTATAATACCATATTAAGCCTTCAGTAAAATTTTTACATGAAAACGATTAACTAGAACTTAAAACGTTCTTGGATCACGATTTGTGCGTTGGATTTTTCACAATTATTTCTACCATAAACTATTTTGGTGTCATGAGCAGCAATGAAAAATGGAGAGTAAAAAGACCACTACCACTGAGAATCTTAGCACTAGTCAAAGGAACTGGAGGTAGATTTAATGATATACAAAATATTGTGAACGATACAATGAGAAACCAGATAAACAACCTAACTAGTACTGTTACCAAGGTGTGAAATACTTTTCCCACTGACAAGAGTAGATCCATTTGAAATGACATAAACTGTCGTCAAATATCTATATGAACACCATTTCTAACGCATTTTGGGAATACAAAAATCATAGTCATTATTAATTCACTTGGTACTGTTTTACTTGAATCTTCGCATTGTTGTTTAGGACTGCAATTGATCAGTCTCCTATTGGCATGTGTGCATACTGCGCATATTGCCTCGATATTGCCTTGATTTGCAAGTATTATAAGCAAAGATGGCTAGCAGTGGAATCCAGGACGCGCGTGTCGTCCTACTTGGTATTCGTCAGCTGGATGTACCTGCATCTCCGAGTCGATGTTCACTCTGGGACTCGGAACCAGTAACGTTCGCTTCAAACGCCATCGCGTTATCCACTTAGCTACTGAGTCCTGATAGTCATTATTGTTGAGAAACACGTTTGTGATTATTACAGAAAATGAGTTCGAATTATTATTGTTTGTTCGTATTCATCAGGAAATTCTTACTTAACTTTGAAACATGTGAATGTTCGAGTTCAATGATACTTTAGTCCCAAAAAGAATAATGATTGATTTAATTTCCATAACATGCTATGTCAACTAGCTTGATCGATCTTTTAAAATGGATTTCAGCTGAACTGGATCAACTGTATGATTAAATCAATTCCATGATTCATTATTTCAAACAGATTCATTAGTTCAAATCTAAACGACAGGGTACTAAACGTTTCTACAGGATTTTTAAATTTCTTACAAGACTCATAAGCCTGGTAATAATTAAAAGTCATAATATTGTCTATCTACCAAGTACTAATTCATGTGAACGACTTTGTGGGAGTTTAGGTGCGAAAGTAAACAATAATATTCATCTGTATAAACTGATGTGGGCGAGGTGGAGTCGAAGTATTCAGTTCACTAGTTAAAACTTGAGTGCTTTATACATTAAGCAACCGTACTCTAATAGGATTGGGAAAATTACGGGGCAGTGTGTAGATAAATATAATCACACAAATTTTTCTAATGAACTCGGCACACAACAAGCCAACATAGATACACGGACACTATATATATATATATATATATATATATATATATATATATATATATATATATTCACTTACTTAATGTAGTTATCTTTTTTATCTTTAGGCCAAGAAGGATTAAGCTGATGAATTTTACAAGCAACATATCGATTAGCTACGAGATCAAAACCCTGAGCAAACAAAAAAAAACGAGAAAACAAAACATTTGAGAATATTTAAAGAAATATTATATGAAATAAATTGATAGAAATTATTTTATCATCATAATTAGTATGACACTGAAGCGCTCCAGATAACAAATACTTATCAGCCGAATTTATTTCGGTGTATATAGTAGTATTAGTTAAATGCTGCTACAACGAAATGGTGTGAATGGGTTACACCTTGATAATTAATGGTAACTTTACTAGTGCTTCCAATGGGTTGAAGAATATGCATTGAGATGTAGCCTATGTTTAATCAACTTATTTATTAAGTATAGGTTTAATGTACTTTATTGTGAATAGTATTGTACGTAATAGTGCCAGTGAATGACGTTGGAGAAGCGGTTTTCGTCTCAAAATATTTTTGATAAAAATTTGTTGGATCGGTATCTTTTTATAGCTACTAGATAGTCTTCAAGACTCAGTCAAACACTGGTACTGTAATCACCATTGGTTATGGTAATTAGTACATTTATACGAAATGTATCCATTTTGATTTATCTTGTAGTGGTTGGATACAGGACCAAATCAGAACAAATTAAATACGGTAAGCGAAAAAACAGTACCTAATAAATAATTTACTTACTATGTTTCAGTTATCTAGCTTGTAAGATGGACAAGTGGAGAACAAATAAATTTATTATACTCATTACTTTTATTAGTCTACTGAATACTATTTTATATAAACACACTGAAAATGAAAAACCGGTTGGATAGACATTATACAGAAGGTAAGATTTAGACACAGGCTGCTATAATTCACATCAGCAGAGGAGAGTGAGAAACAACTAAATAGGCCACAATCCATTGAGATAACATTAAAATGAGCTTTAACGACATACATGACGCGCACTTCGAAATTATGCATTATACGTTTCCATCAGGATTGGATGCAGTTTCAATTTTAAGACTTATACAAAGGGATAGCCAACTCAATCGGTATTAATCAACGTATAGACCAATTTATCATGTGACATTAGCATGAAAGATGAAATAAACAAAACGAATGGCGAAGGAGTTGAAATAATGCAGTGGCAATAGGAATTGAAATTACCACGCATTGAGATGGTTAGATTTTAGTTATTTGAACAAATAAATATTGGTACAAAGGGGCACCGAATACATATGGGCAATACAAGTCACATGGTTTGTGCGTGGGCTATGATGCTGTTCGGGCGCCCAAACCGAAGCAGGTGGTTTTCTTAGGGAGTCACATCCGGAGCCATTCGACCTAAAAGTCTGATCCACAAGGCAGTGGAGCAAAATCAGGAGATGCAGTCCCATGGTAGCCGGTGACCAACAATAGGTTCATATGCCGTTTGCTCCTTCAGAATCCTGGAGCCCATGTGCATCATTGGTTTGGAATCAGGGTTTTACAATTCTCTTAGGTGGACTCTTCGTGTCCACCGAGCCGGTGAAAGCACCGGACATTCGCTTTTCGTCCTCTCAACTTCGTAAACAACACCCCCGTCACGAGAAGGCATTGAGTAGGACTTCCCTGGCAGTGGCTGTATATGAGGGCCATGTGAGAGCGTTTCGAGAGGGAGTTGACTTTCCCCACTCTCCGCCGTACCAGGGCATTTGGGGGCCTGGTTGGAGAAGACGGAGTGAAAATGTATATACAGGGAAATTTTGGGACTCAAGACCTAACGGAAGATAGAGTGAATGTAACTATGATTGATTCGGAGTCATACCACCAAACATCAATGCTGAGGTTAAGTATAGAGTACTAGCTAAAGGGGATAAACCGGTTGACGAGGTTATAAATATTCATTGGCTCTAGATCTTGATTTCCACTATTCCTCCAAAAATACCTTTTCACTCTGCCTTTTTGAACAATATTCCAAATGTTCAGTCTTTTTCACCATCATCATCATCATCGGATTATTTAGACCACTTTTGTTGTTTTTATGTTGTCGTGTTAATGTGATGTGGCAAGTTGGCAAATGCACATATCACGTATCTACGTTGATGATGACTGACGCTCACTGTCTCCAACTACTGATTGAGGTTATCGCGCGGACCCTAACCAAGTAGTCTGCATCTAACAACATGAATCATTTCGACAGCCAACGATTTCATAGATAGGTGATGGCTAATCATAGGTAACACATAGTGATAGACACTTTAGTTTTCTCTTCCACAACTGAATTGCCTGGGACGTACGTCACATAAACTTAGCCACCACACTCCTCGACACAATTCTGGCTGGTCAGTCGGTCAGCTACAACGTATGACCAGGCACATATATGCATCGTTCCAAGTTGCCATACCTCACATCAACACAACAAGATAGACACCGGATTCATAAAAGTAGTTAATTCAGAGGTGGTAATATATAAAAGGAAGACTGCGATAAGGATATAGTACAGGAAGAAAGAATTAGTTCGTAGAAAGAAATATATGAAGCAATTTTAATCTCTTAGTTTAAGGGAAGACAGAGAGTGTATACACCGACGCCATTGTGATCGATTCTGAGCCATGTCACCAAGAGTCTCCAACCATTGGTTACGATAGTCACGCCAACTCCAACCAAGTAGTCTGTATCTACCAACATGGCTCAGACTAGAAGTTAGTGACTTCAAGCACTAATGCCACGTTTTGGTTTGGCCATCCCTAACTTCCTTCCAACCATACCCAACATTAGTCACAGCATTGCGCGTGAGGTAGTCGGTGTTCGGAGATACGTGGCACGTGACTCAACCATCTCAATTGATAAAGATTTGCAACCCCATCAACTGACTCACCATCATTCCCTTATACCCTGCGTCTAACCTCACTATTACTTACCCGGTGATCCCAGCAGACGCCAGCAATATTTCTGAGGCACCTGTGGTCAAATACTAGTAGCTTATGAGTGTCTTCTACTCTTAATGGCCATGTTTCGCTGCCGTAAATTAAAACAGAACGGACTGTCGCGCAGTATACTCGTCCTTTTATTGATAAACGGATATCTTGCCTTTGCCATGGGTGACGTAAGTTGGCAAAAGTCAAACGGGCATTTTATCAGCGTCTTAACCAAACAGGACTATGTTATTTGTGTATTCTAAGTCGATAAGTGGACCTCCTGGAAGGAGATCAATGCCCGGGAATTCAGTAGACGAGAATGTTATTTTCATCAGTAGGTCTATCATGAAGTTAAACAAAAATGGAGAAAGTGGACAGCCTTGACGGACACCACTTGAGGTTGCAAAATCAGATGACAGTTCGCCATAAGCTCTGACTCGACTGGCAGTGTTCGAGTAAAGAGCCTTCACAAGGTTTATGTACTTCTGAGGTACGCCTTTCAATGACAGACACTGTCACAGAATCTCGCGATCTACGGAGTCAAATGCTGCTTTTAAGTCAAGAAAGACCACCATTGTCGGACGCCGATAAGTATGCCTATGTTCTAGAACCTGACGAATGGTGAATATGTGGTCGATGCAGCCACGACCAGGTCTGAAGCCAGTTTGATTCTCTCGTGTTTGCAGTTCACGAGTCTTAGTTAGGCGTCTGATAATTATCCAGGCTAGTATTTTAGATACTATATTAGTTAAACTAATCCCTCTATGGTTGTCGCAGGATGATTTTAACCCTCTCTTATATATTTGGACGATAAGTGTTTGTGACCAGTCAGATGGAATAACGTCTAACTCCCAGATCTTAGCTAAAATATTAGTCAACCTAATCGCTAAAATTGGACCACCATCCTTAAAGACTTCTGGAGCCAATCCATCTGGACCAGCTACCCTTCCTCGTTTCAGATTAACTATAGCCTTTTGAACTTCTGCTAGAGTTGGGGGACCTACTTCAATGTTCCATTCACACTGTCTGGGAATGGAGGGTAGTTGTAGAGTAGCTGAAGGCCAGCTGAACTGTTCTCTGAAATGTTCCGTCCATCGTTCTAAACGTCTGGACTGGAAGCAGATGAGTGTCGTCTTTTTCCGAAATAGTTTGACTTACACTTGACTTATTGATTACAGTTTCTTTTATTAGTCTGTAGAGCTGTCTGGTGTTACCTACAGCCGCTGCCTTTTCCATCTCTTTTGTTTTCGTTGACCATCACTGCTCACGGTCGTTCCTTAAACTTTTGGTTAACCTAGATCTGATTTGTTTTTGCTCTTCATCGTGTTCAGAGCCCGATGGGATGAGTTTACGAGAATCCATCAGTGCAATAGACCTTGAGGAAATCCATTGGTTCATTCTGGCTGGTGCAGGAGTATGTTAGAAAAAGGTGACCATGAACTAGAAGTAAACAATGTCTATGTCTAGTTTTTTATTGATCATATTACGTTTATGATGAAAACGGACTACTTTATTGAAGCAAGAAAAAGTGAAGTCTAAGAATGAACAACCGACCTTGTGAACTTCCGAGAATCCACCTTTGCCCAGTAAATTAAGCAAAAGATATCGTTCATTCAGTAATGGATGATCTTTAAAACGAGATGCATCTTCATTAGAAATTCGTTTAATTTCTCGAATATGCAAATTTCTTTCTCGATCTAATCGCTCTAATTCCATTTGAATTTCTTTATCTTCTTTAACAAGCATCTGTTTACGTAAATCATAAATTTCTAATTGTTCATAAAATTCATCCACGGAGACTCTAGAGAGAAAGAAAACAGTAATAACAATTATTATCCAATCATTTTTTATTCATAATTTGGAAATTCTCAATATACAAGATATAGGATAAAAATTAGAGTATGACAACAGTACAAACTGATTGATTTATAAGCATGAAGAGGTACCAATTTTGAGGATCAAAGTTCAAAAATAGGAACACGCTTGAGCGGCAACTTAAGCTAATCCATGAAAATGTCTACGAATGATTCACAACTAAGAAAGTGTGAATTATGCCCTTCCAAAACAACTGACTTCCAACCAATAGATCCCAGGTTCAAACACATCCTTATCTACGTACGCTATGGCAGCCTGGTAATATCACTAAATGTATTAAAACTAAAGTGAGGTTCAAAGCCAATTACATAAACCAGTACATAGTAGATGAGTTACGTGATAAAAACGTATGGCTGAAATAAAAACACATAGTACCTATGTGATGAACCTGACAAATGTTTATTATGCTTAACCACTGCCTATTTAATATTAAGCAGAAGTACAATGAACGATTCAAAAGTGTTAAACCCCAGAATTCACTTCTGCAATTTTATTTTGGAAATTTGAATTTCTTGTTTCCGCTTCAAAAACGCCCATTTTCACCTTCATGTCGTATTTCCTACTTGGGAGAACTTTAAATGTCATTGGTCAGTTGTTTCTCTTAATATGTGATTTTGTAACGTATATACTCTTGAATTGTCCTTGTGGTTGTTGTTCGTGCTTCTGGCTGCTTGTGGAATACATTTCCTTCTCTCAACATGAACGTATCATTCTAGTTAGCGGGGCTGGGATGCATCGTTCAGTTCGCAGATTAGGTGAACTCGTAATCTCTCGAAACATAGCAACGGGAGAACAATTTCTGAAGACTTTCGACAGACAGTTTGAAAACAAACCATGAATTGTAAGCATTCTGAATGGTGTTAGTTGGACAATAGAAATCGGTAATAGGAGAAACAAAGTAGGATTATTCGCCCATAATTGATTACAGTATTTTGATGCATGTTTTCCTTTAAGCTTTTGCGAAACGTATATATCATATTGTTTCATTGATTTTTCCTACTATTCAAAAATGTTTTTGACATCTAGTGCTTAAGATTTGGTGATATTATTACGGACCATCTTGAGTCAATAATTTTATATAGCATTATCTAACTTATTACTGAAATATCAAGGGTTACAAACACCGGAAGTCCATTTCCACCAGTTAAGACGTTTTTGGTAAGGATAGTATAATTAGTACACATAAAACTTTACACAAGAAAAAATAAACTTTAACTTACTCATCGTATTTAGATTTAGTACTCTTTTTAGCATCCCCAACATTTGGTTTACGCTTGTTCCATTGTTTCTTTTTACGTTCAATCTCTTCACGAACAAGTTCAATATTCTTACGGCGCCTGAAGAAATAAACAGGAAAATAGAAAAGTTTGAAATTAGCAGAATGACATTATTGTGTGAGCCCACAAATACCGAGGGTGGGAGTTAACTCTCTCTCGAAACGCTCTCACATGGCCCTCATATACAGCCACTGCCAGGGAAGTCCTACTCAATGCCTTCTCGTGACGGGGGTGTTGTTTACGAAGTTGAGAGGACGAAAAGCGAATGTCCGGTGCTTTCACCGGCTCGGTGGACACGAAGAGTCCACCTAAGAGAATTGTAAAACCCTGATTCCAAACCAATGATGCACATGGGCTCCAGGATTCTGAAGGAGCAAACGGCATATGAACCTATTGTTGGTCACCGGCTACCATGGGACTGCATCTCCTGATTTTGCTCCACTGCCTTGTGGGTCAGACTTTTAGGTCGAATGGCTCCGGATGTGACTCCCTAAGAAAACCACCTGCTTCGGTTTGGATGCCCGGGTAGTGTCACTGCCCTCACCCAAATCAATGATAACTGCTACTGGCCTCATCATTGTGTGGCGTATCTGTATTCGGTGCCCCCTTGTACCAATGTTTATATGTTCAAATAAATAAAATGTTATCATTGTTATTATTATAAGCGTTACAAACCATACCAATTTTACAATAAGTATTCTTAAAACGATACTTATCAAACAGATTTCGTGGTCAAAATTTAATCTTAAAACAAGGACGAAATAAATAAACGAGACAACTTATTTATATGGTAAAATCTTATGTGCTCAAGTTTGAGTCACACTATTTATGTATAAAGACCATTGATGCTAATATAGTTGCCTAATTCGAAGTAGGGACAGATGAGTTACCCTACCTAATAAAAAATACTCGTCTATAATCCGTACTTATGCTTCACTTCCCAATGATTTTGAGTTTTTAACAAAAGATTAGTCAGATATCCAAAAATTTCGTTGCAATCAATTGCGATAACAATGAACAGCTAAAAAACAACGGAACTAGGCAAACATAAGTATTGACAACTAATTTCTGAATTTTATACATGATAGTAAGTAAAGGGGACTTACTGATCTAATTCCTTAAATCTCGAACCTTCGATCCATTTCTCTTCAAAATGAGCACCCTGTCTTTGGGTGATAAATTGACCTAACCGTAAACGGTTTTCCATAACTTTTTGACGTGTAGTCTTTCTTTCGAGTAAACTCTGAAAGCACGTTATACAATCAGAAATTCATTAGAATAAAGAAAATACATTGGTAAATAAATGACCAACGATAGCATTATTTGACGTAATACTGAGCAGGTTAATAATCAAATATTGTTATGCGCATTGCAGTCAGACAGAATATTTAAGAAAATAATTAAATAACTTACTTTTTCAATCAGCAATTCGCGTATCATTTCGCGGGAACGAATGGCATTATCTTGTAATTTTGTAATGGTCTCTCGTTGAACAACAGTTTCGTGTTCTAAATCAGCTATTCGACGCTGAAGACTCTCAACTGAAGTTAGTGGAACAGATGAAGCAGGTCCACCGGTTGTAACTAAGGGAGGATTATTATGCAAAGTTGTGATGTTTGTGCATTGTGAACCTTCCACACATTCGGCAGTTGGCGGTGGAGTGACAGTTTCATCTGTTTGCACCCCGACATGAGATCTGAAGTTGTTTGTGGGTGACCCAGAAACGGCTGGAACATTTGATGTCATGGGATTATTAGGACAGGATCCAGAGCTTAGATAACCAACACTAGGTTGTCCAACTTGAGGATATGATGAATTAAGATTAGCAGGTAGCTGAAGGTTAGAATAAGTAGGCAATGGATTAGCATTGCAGGGTATTGTACAAGAAGTTGGATTCGCGTTTACATTCGCAACCATACTTAACCCAACCATCGATACAGGATTGTCACCGGAGCTATCACTTAAACTTGCTGTACTGCTGGCACGGACAGGTGACAACTGGAAAGTAGCTGCATTATTTGCATACTGAATTCCTGTTACTGACGTAATAATCATTTGATCGTTGCTTGCGCAGCTCGTAGTCACAGCTTCATTCAGCGACGGGATGTAATTATGGTTTACTCCAACCATTTGATTATCAAGTGAATGGGCACCTGTAGGGGACTAAAAGGGGGAAACGGTACACAATTAAAACAAAAGCTGTAAGGATAAACTCCTATTCCTACTCACGAAAAAATTCTCCCATAGTTTCTAGTACGAAATAGCCCTAAATAAGATTATCGTTAGCAGTATTAGTCTTTCATATGGTGCTAGTCACGTATTCCTCGTACATGAATGTAGTATCCTGGTTACCTGTTAATTATTTGTAAATCTCATTAGTTATCGTTTCTACAGAATAGTTATCTTTGTAACGTAACCAGATATTGTTTCACCCATTATCTGCAACCTACCAACCGCGTTATTGGTTTAGGTACTGAAACTACTGTATGACATGAAAACTAGCAGTCCCATTGGACCTACCACGCCAAGGTAGGTAGAGTTGAACTTGGGATCGTTTAATTGATTAATAACAATGTATCTTTTAATGTCAGTGAACTTGATGGGGATTGCGGAGATTGTTGGGTTTTATTGAAATCACGAACCGATCTAAGTTAGACAACCATCGGAAACCTGGAAGCCCTGGATTGATTATTTGACAAATTGTCACATGAATGGTTAATGAAGTTCATCTCAAAATTTTCAGATTCCCGGAACTTGGCCTATCTAAACGTAGTAAGAAAAAAAGTGCTATTTGTTTTGCTTATGGACAGTAAGCTTGTTAGCCGAGTAGTATTCACTAGCTCACACACAAATTTTAACTCAAAGCCTAGCATACGAATATATACCGAGTTAGATCCAAGGATTTATTTACCTTGTGTTCCAACAGAGTAAACATACATGTATTATTTTGGCTATCGAATCCAGAGATTACAAAAACATTTAATTAGCGAGACCTGTTGCGGTATAATAATATCGGAAACATGGACATTTGAGTTGTTATATCACTTATTCTGAAACTATCTATATCATATGATTCGACAATTTTTAGTAGAAACAATCCAAGACAAGTATTTACGTGATAAATCTAGATGAAAATTGTTCATTTTAGCATTGTTAGTAAGAGATGAAACAGATAATTCCAAAACCTAGCTGATCCAATACTGCTACATATTAGTTAGAGATCTGGACACAGTGAATATAAGATGTAGACTTACAGGACTCTGTAGACGAGGATTTTGTGTCGGACTGGTTGAACCACAGGATGAATATAATGGCCCAGGCATGAACTGAATGAGAAAAGATGAGTGAAGATAAGCTATGATTAAACTCGAATTCTCGAGATACATATATTTAAGAAAAATGGATTCTGGTGGGACAATTATAGCATACAACATTTAGACCAAAACAACAGCCTACAATAACAAAATCAGTGAGTCGAGCGACAGATACGATGCACACATTATGAGTAGGTCAAAATCTTTGACATGTTATCTGTTCATTGATTAAAACAAATTCGATCCAGGACTTCCAATAAACCTATAAAATTACCTGGCAGATATTGATGTTAATTCACCTGTAATTTCCTGAATCTACGATTTTTAGGGTTCTTCTAATGACCTAATTATTAAAAAACTGATTTGATGAAAGTCTAGAGAGTGAACGGCATATTTTAGGAGGAGGAAAATGCACAACTCACTTTAAAGATTTCATCGATACGCTTTGAACCACGTTCTTGGCAAACCATTTTTTTAGGTTTCGGTGTATGACCTTCATCAGAACTCACTAATTTTCGCCGTTTCTTTGTGCCATTTCGGGATGGCAACGAATCACCTTGTCCACCAGGAGTTGGAGTATGTGGTCCTATCGAAGGAGATAAGTGGTATGTAGGATTGTTTGTTTCGATAAATGCTGCAGATGGTTGGACGGAAATTTGGAATGTGGGATACGGAGCATTTTTTTCCTCTACAAATGTATAGGGTTGTTTCACAGGACTGTTGCCCGCAACAGTGGTTGGGGTGTGAATAGAGTTCGACCTTGAAACATACTGCAGACCTTGGGGCGAACCAAGAGGATTTGCTGGGATACCAGGAGCCAAAGCTTCTATCAACTTATCGTCCGATTTTACGAGGGAAGTAATAAGACCGTCATTTGATGTGTTGTCAGACTCTCCTACAGAACTTGAAGGGATTCTCTTTTTTTTTGGAGTCGTAGGTGAAGTCACATAATCTTCTTGCGTCTGAACGTAGATCTGAGAATCTTGAACATTAAGACCCGGACTAGTGACCTCCAGTCGATGAATGTTATGGCAATTCGGGTTATGCAACCTTTTGCCTGGATCTGTTGCACTCGGAATTCTTTCATTGATTTCAACTGATATCGAAGGAACTACTGTGGAAACCGGCTTAATCTCACTGCTACTAGTACTTAGGTCATGTTCACCGACTGAACTGAATGGACTGGAAGAACCACGTAAAACTGAGTGTTCTGGAGTGCCGGAAGGTTCTTCTGTTATTGGAAACATATATCCAGAAGCATACGAATTAGACTTTGTGGAGCGAGGCACATTATTGGTTGACCTTATATGGTTAGTTCCCTGAATTCTAGCTTCCAGAAGTTCGTGTTTACGTGGATCTACATGAAGAGGCATAGCAAAGGTACCTTAAAGTGTAAAATAAAACGAAGTTGCTTCGTTAGTCTACATAAGTGGGACAGGATTTAGAAAAAGAAAAATATCCATTACGGTGAAGAAAATCTCATTCTTAACCAACATTTATAATATCTCTTCCCAGATAAAGAAATAGTAAAAAAATGCCATTATAACAAACAAAATTAAGCTATTGATGTATGTAGTAACTAGTCTCAGCTGTATTTTATAGGTTCAGACAGGGTAATGGATATGGGTAATAGTTCACTTACCAAAGTTCGGAAAGATTTACAGCATTATAAACCTTCAAATTAAAATTGAATACAACTGAGTTATAATAATTAACATCACGTGTTAAGAATTGTATGACAATTTCGATGACTCCCAAAGTGTGGAATATCTGTAGCTAAAGACGAATCCTAAATATATAAAACTAGATACCAATGAGATAAATAGATTCTTAGAAATCAATCTTATTCGTTTAGTACTTAATATATCTTGATTTTGGTAAATTATTAATCTCTTTATTTAATATTATATTTTCGGTAAAATATGGAGTTCATACTACTTTATCTGCGTTTTCAACATTGCTGATGAGCATAGCAAATAAAATGAATGGATTAACAACAGTGACTTCATTTTTACCTACCTGAAGTACAAAATGCCAGTGCAATTAATATGGAACATATTTATTAGATTAAGAATATATAGGCATTAGATTCAGTAGTATTTCATCGGACGAATTACCTATTATTCAGAAAGGATCTTGATACTTGGAGAGAACAAGGGCCAAACTTTATATTACATGGGCTTAAAAACACTAATGTATTAAGCAATCGTAAAGTAATTAATATCATTAATTTACTATGTGCAAATTTGTATAAGCAGCTTTGAGTCATACTTTATAAGGCTCGTGATACCGCCCGGCTTCCCAAACTGTAGTAGGTAGGGTAGGGTTCAAGGCTGATTAGAAACGTTACTTCAGTAAGGGAGTGAGAGAAATTACATTCCAAATCGAACTATCTTCGAAAACGATGATAATACTAGTACGATCTGGTTAATTGTATTAGATTCCTTAACTTTGCGAAGCATGAACTTCGTTCAGGTCATTTTTAATACTAAGGTAAACTACTTTGGGAATTTTGAAGGGAAACGACACGATTCTGAGCAAGTACGCAAAGAATGGAGTTTACGAATACCCTAGTCGAATTTTTCCCGAAGGAAACACTTCTTAGAAGCGATTTGGCAGAAAACCTCACCGTATTAAACTAGATCTACCGAGTGGTACTGTGAAATCCTAGACTATAATAACACTAAGCTAACTTCGCCTGAAGCCCCTTCAGGATTACTGACAGTCCCAAGTCAGGATAAAGGAAGTTGGGAGTAGGGTTAGAAACCCCATATCGTAAAAAGAACTTTGATGCAAAAAAGCTAACCACAGAAAACCAATTAAGCCAATTAGACTACTGAGTACGTCACGCCACGGAAATCGACGTGCATCACAAAGTAAGCTCTGATTTGTAATTAAGACAAAAGGAAAAGAGGCAGACCAAAAAACATATCACTGAAAAGTGAGAGCGGTCATCAAAAGAATGGGATGAACTTCGAAACTCCATGTAAGTATGGTCTTCTCATTACACTGTTCTTTCTACTATGAATACATGTAATTTTTCAGTTAACACTTTAGAGATTGTAACTTCTACGTATTTTGAAGCTATTCAATATCAACTAGTCAGGGGCTTTCTACGGCCAACTATATACTGAATTTTTTATAAATCTAGGTAATATTTAACCAGATTCAGACTAATGGTGTTATAATCACTGGACGACTCAAGAAGTGGAGCTTCACAATAGTTAGGGTGTGACAAGAAACGATGTCGTATGCAGCTTGAAACCTGTACAAATTGACCAACGAGGTACTAGGTAATGAGACTTTTCAGACTATTGTGGTCAATAACATCCTTGAGGCAACTTTGATAAGAGTATATAGTGGTGGTGAGGATGTTAACCGGAGAAACAGTTCGATCTTGAGTATCTGGATGATATTGTCTTGCAGTGCGGTGATATTTGAGCCATGCAAGTGACAATTAATCAGTGTCCTAAATACGGAATTTAGTTTGAACATTCTAAATGCAAAGTGGCTCCATAGGACTGGCAAGAGCTTGTACCGGCACTCATTCTTTATGAGTTGTGAGAAATAATCTAAAGGTCAGCGTATCTGTGTGAGTGCTGCTGGAAGTGTGACTGATGGGGTCAGTCTACGTATGGTGAAAGCTAGAGCGATTTATGCTAATTCAAACTATCTTTGGTACTTGTGATGTTAGTTTGGATGTAGAAGGTTGGATTTACGATGTGTTTGTAGGAACAGCACTGCTTTGTGTTTGTGAAACCTGGCCTTTACTAGTTGAGTATGTTAGATGACCGCGTTTGGTTATCGCTGTCTTTGTAGGGCTGTTGATAACACTGTTAGCAATTCAAATGTTTAGTAATGTGTTCGGACAGTGGTGATAACTCGATTAGTGTCGCCATCTTGTGGGTGTAATCTCTAAATACAACTTATGAGAGAAAATCGATACCGATTAAGATTATTTCCCGTTACACTAAAAAAAGTCTGAAATCTGCTTAAGGCCTTTTAATGCATTTTTACTATGATTTTTATTTGACGACAAATACTTAGTTCATAAATTCTAATCATTATAATTCGCACATAATCAACTGACTCAAATGTACTTTTCATTGATATACTAATCATCATTAAAAAGCTTATTACTAAAATGATCTTTCTACTCTAATTAACGACGAAGACAAGTCAGCAGGACGCAAGGTAAAACCTGGCACATATATACATTGATTGAGGTCCTAGATACGCTCCTGCTTCTATTTGGGCACCCGGACAGTATCACAGCCCTCGCACAAATCAAATGAGATTTGTGTGGCACATATGTATTTGGTGCCTCCTTGTACCAATATCTATATGTTCAAATAAAAAATAAATCCTAGATAATCTGCAACTTAGTGCATGAGAAGTCATAAGGAATGACTCTGAAGAGAAGCTAATGGAAGTCCTTTCGAAGATAATTTTTACATCCTCCACGAGTCAGAGGAACTCCAAGTGAAAGAATTGTTTTCGGCCATAGTTTTTAAAACGAAATGTCACTTTGGTGAAACTATAATTTATGGACGACATTTGAGTTACGCTAAAGTGGCCTTGAGTGTGTCCTCCTACTTTGTAGGGCTAAATGAGAGTTATAAACCTGTGTGAAGAATAAGGATTATGATTTACAGTTGATGGTCAGGGTTATGGATTCGTTTTAAAATCTTCACGAACTGACATCATACCGAAACGCTCTTTAACCAAATAGATGAAGGAATTTTGCGCCAAGATCCAAGACATGTTATCTTATTTCTTATTGGTTCGTTCATAAACTATAGTTTTGCCTCATTTTCTTATTTGAGTGCAGCATATTTATCTGGTGCTCATTTGTACCAGATTTTAGATAAAATAAGAAGATGGAGGCAAGATCATTGGGAACTTTAAAGTGAATTACTATGTTAAGCTATAACCTGTATGAACATTGTACTCTGGTGATGGTGATAACCGCCTTAAAAGCAGAAATTTGCAGTTTTAGGTTTCAAGAGATCTCGGCAATAGGATTCCAAAAACCCACTGTTTCGCGCACACCTAAGTAACTGCACATGAGTGGCAATTCCTAAAGATGGGTATCTACGTTATTTTTTTCTGCATATGTGTCAACAGTTAGATACTTTAGCCTTCGAAAACAAATTCGTAGATAGCTCTAGTTCCCACTTAGAGTGTATAAATTATTCATGTAATATTTGGCCCTAATTTCTCACACTCAAAACGTGGAGGTAGCTAAGATGGATCAACGATATCACGTAGGGACTTAAGTTGAGTATTTGTGACATCACGCATATAAATACGCATATGCGTGAAATCAAACAACTAATAAGGTACATACGGAATTGGAAAACCGTTTGCTTCCTTTGACCAAATAGTTCTAAAGATAACTTGGTGATAGGACAAATCAAAATTAGAAAAACTAGGTTTTTTAACAATATGAATCCACTTTCTAAACGAGCGTACCTGAAGAAGTCAAGTGGTAATGACAAGCTAGAATGTAAACTGGGGAAAATTAGAACTGAGAGCACCACCATTTTAAAACTATGAAGTCATTGACTTACATATCCATAGGAACAAAACAGTAACTAGATAATCGCATACACAACATCCACAGCCATCTGAAGATTCCGAACGCAGAATTTTCGAAAACAGATAAACAAACAAGCAACAGCTGACTGTAACGATTTGGAGTCGTGGTGATCAAGTGCTGAGACTATTTAATGTCAGTAAATAATTAGGTTCATCGTAATAGTTCAAGCTGGTTCATAGACTTTATTTTTGTGGCAAAATAACGGCGCTTTTTAAAAATGCTGGTGGAACGCAATATCTGTCAGAATGTTAATCTCACCATACTGGAGTGCAGTCAGCAAGCCGCAGAGTTTAGGACGTTTCTTGGCAATAGTGCTGACACGTCCTTTGGTAGTATCCCAAGGCTTTTATTACAAGCCGCAGATCGAGATTTGCCTTCCAGGTTTATACGTATTTTGCATACATTTGACCGGCATGTGATGCTCGGTCTATATCATGTGAATCGTAACAAACAACTTATAAAGGTTGTTTTTATGTATTTTGAAATTCCTATTGATTTCTATTTCAGAGAGCTTGAGGCATAAGTTAAGCGAATCCGTAGTGACAAGTTTACAATGTTCCTGTATCTGACTCGAGTTAGAGGTTGTACCAGTCTTTTTTGCACACACAATTCTGGTTTTTCCAGATCTATGGCTATTGCCTCGGCAATGCAAAGAAGATGCAGTCTAATTGTCCTAGGAAGACTTCTACTTACCTTGTAAATGACTTTGAATTCAGAGTCTGTCTTGATTGAATGACCTGTGTTCACAAGGTGTCCGATTATAGAACTTCTTATTGAGCCGTTGCCTCCTCTTTTTAGCCACGCCGGCAGGGAAAACTAGAATTGTGTGTGCAAAAGAGACTGGTACAACCTCTTCTTCTACCATGGTCTTGATGTATTAAAATTTTTCTCTCTTTTTGATACTCTTGTTCCTTTACAGCTATATCCTTCACCTTCCATCTTCCCTTTAAATCTTCTACCCACAACTGGTTTGCTTTTTATTTCCACGATCATTCCGATTACATTTCGTCTCTGTTTCAACATGTTATTTTATCGTGCTCAGCCATCTTTTCCCAATGTTAACTTCCCTATCTATCTTTTATTGAATACTTAAGCTATTAACAATCAAACGATTGTTAAACTTTCCTTGTTTAATACCTTTGTTTATTTAACCTGTCACCATATATAACAGGTTTATTATCAGTATTATCATCCTGTAAAAATAAGCATATATATTTGCGATTGTACAGCTTTGAAAATGAATTCACCGGAAAGAGAACCCTTCGCTGAACTAATCTTTCTTAGTTATTGTCTTAATGGGTGTATTCCGTTTATTAAAACAAAGTGATGCGGAGCGGAGGCGAGTTAGCCAATGCAATTTAATGAAGCATGGCCCGATATTCATGGTCAAACAAAAATACGTTACGGACACAAAATGAATAGGGTACGTAGTTAACACACATGTACTCATATAAAAACAGTCAGATCTAATAAGCGAATAAGTGACAAGGTCAAAATATGACTCCGGAAGAATGAATAGATTAGTCCGTCCAGAAGCTAGAATAACCGATGTGTACTTGACATGGCAACAGTACAAACTATGATAATTAATGAAAAAACACAAATTGTAACAGAAACTAATTACAAAATGACTCTATGTTAACTATCTCCATAGCTTTTTCATAATATATGAGAAGAATATTCGTTGCCTAAGAAATTTCATATTTGTCAGTAATGAGCAAAGTGACTTATTTTTCAGAGGGAGGTTTAAACACTTGGCTTAAATACCTTTGGTTTCATAATTTATCTATAGTTTCACGGAATTTTCAGTCGAGGTGTTTAGCACATTACTTTCAATGAATATTTAAATGTACCGAACTATTAGTAAAAATGAATGGATAAAGAACATGAAAGATGTATTGAATATTTCTCACTTCAACAGAGTGATCCAGGACATTCATGGAGGCACAAAAGTTTGTTTGAACCTCGTAAGAACACGATACTTCAAGCTCATTACATGAATTTAATTTTGTCAGATATACACTACCATCAAGGTAATAAAGGACAACCCAAGGATCCTTTATCTATGTGTGTGCAAAATTCCCTCTACTTATGAATTCCAGGAGACCATAAGCTTTTATTACATCCTTAACTCAAATTTACTATTACCAAATCTCTTATTTCTGTATATTATGTGTTACTCTGATTCAATATCAAATTATCATCATACATTTTTACAGACAATTTTAGTTTGTGTCCATTTCATTCCTATCTTATTGTAGTTCACTATTCTGATATGTTTTACTTATCCACATATTTTTGATAGGTTACATATGAACTCATCGTTTGACTGTTACCACTTAATCCGGTCGATTTTTCCCACCGTTTGTAATAGAATCGGACTACCTGTTTGTTAGAATTTGTAATGGTGGCATTAGTTGAAACCAAAGTTTATCAAGATTCGGTACCAACTGGTCGCAAAGGTGTTGGTTCTCAAAGCTGAAAAGAAAATAACTGAGAAATTTCACACTCGGCATTCGACATGGAGAGTAGGTCTGAGATGGTGAACGCAGAAAAGATTGTTCAGCGGGTTGTGGCTCAGTCTTGCAGGCGTAGTCATTCTGTGTAAACTATACCTTTCCACGTTATATACACTATTTTATCCTCTGGTAAATGTGTTCTACAAAAATGCTAGATGTCCTATTGGGGATTGTCACGGTAGGACGAGTCAGTGTAGACCATGACGTGGCTTCTACGTCAGATTTTATAGATTGGATAGTCAGGCCGTAACAAATGTTTAAAGGTAAATGTACTAATATCAAACTATCCCATAATTCTACATGTTCCACCCTTTTAATGTTTTATTATTGGTATTATTGTTCATAATCAGCCACTAGTTTCGATCACTAGCTCAGTGTATCAGAGAGGATTTTCGCCCCCTGTAGTTGCTAGCAAAAAACGAACTATGTACTAAAGACAAGGTTTTTGACGTTGCGCTTACATAAATAACATGACTTCACATGAACCCAACAGCTTGGCTGAAATATAATCTCCTACTTATTTTTAGGGGAGAGAGACTAGGAAGTTATTTGACAGAAAATATTTTTGCATTCTTGTTCTTCAATCTGTTTGCTATGAACTTGTAGTGATATTACATCTAATCACAATCTTTAAAGGTGAACATGCCAAATAATTTGATATCCGTGCTCTCAAGAACCATGGAAAAAATCATCCACAAACAGCTACTATCATTTTTACTTTCGGCTAGTCTGATCAGCCCATCCCAACACGGGTTTATGACTAAACGCTTATGTTTCACATCACACCGGGAGTTTTTTGATCAAATTACCCAGAAAAGAGATGTTGGTCAGTCAGTGATAATTCTTTACTTCGATTTTAGTAAGGCTTTTGACAGTGTCTCACACAAACTTCTTCTTTTAAAACTCTCTTCATTTGACATACAGAATCCCCTTTTATCTTGGTTCAAATCTTTTTTAGAAGAACGTAGAAAATCGTTCGCTTTGGATCTTGCTACTCTAAGCCTGTGAATGTAACCAGTGGGGTTATACAAGGAAGTGTGATTGGTCCATTACTCTTTCTCCTTTTTATCAATGACGTGTGTTCCCTCTTTCAGTATGGTAAGCCTTTCCTTTTTGCTGATGACCTGAAAGTAGTATATTCATTCTCTTCTCCTACGAAAGAAAGCTATATTTCAGCGGTAATCCAAGAGGAAATAAACAAGTTGTACGAATGGACTGTTTCTTGGAATATGCCACTTAATGTTGACAAAAGTGGATTTTTTCACATTGGTCGCTGTCTTAACTTAAATCTGACTGTACACACACATACACTCAAACCTCTCACCACTGTTCGTGACCTGCGTTTAAGATAAAGCAACAGTCTGAACTTTTCTGAACACATTATATATCAAGTATCCAAAGCTCATCGGATTGATAATGATAAACTTCAGTAATATCGAATCGAGATTGTTACTATACAGAAAATGTGTCTTACTCATTCTTGAATATGGTATTTTAGTTTACAGTAATTGTATACATAATGACCTGATTAGAATTGAAGGTGTTCAAAGAAAGTTCACCAAAGCTGTTCTGGGGTATTCCGATAACAAAGACTATTACCAAAGATGTCAACAACTCAACTTAGAACCTCTTTGGATCAGACGTATCAAAATAAATCTTGTCTTTATCTACCGGCTTATTAACGGTATTTCCTACTCTTCGCTATCCATCCCTTCATACCTTATGATATCATCCCACAATCTACGCAATAAGGAGAATATTCTAGCGATTCCAAGAACCCGCACAAACTTACGTCAGAATTTTTTCCTTATTCGCTACTCAACCATGTGGAACAGACTGCCAGTGAACCTCCATTGCAGTGAAACTACAACCCGGTTCAGAAGTCTGCTTGAAGATTTTCTTTCCGAAAGTGGATTATGTCACCTATTGAATATCAATGTATTCAATAATGATTTATACAAACAAGGTCCATCATCCATTTAATTGCTTGAAAAGCAAAATAAAACCTTTAAATCTTTTCACGTCTATTTTACTTTATTTCTATTCATCTTAATATATGAAATCTGCTTATGTTCGTGTTTATCATTATTTCCGTTATTAATATCATTATTAGTTCCCCGACACATTAGATATTCTTTTTATATCTTCTTATCCTTCTAAACATATTTAACTCCAGATTGTTTTTTGAAATCGATTTTGACTTTCATAGCATCAATCTTAATTATTATTGCACAAATATTTATACTAATACTCGGTTTCACTCTGTATACTATTACATAAATCTAAATGTATTCATCCGAGTGCTTTAACGGATTTTTATTTTATTTTTTCAATTGCTGGTTTCCTTCTGAGGTTGATATTCACTACACAATTATTATTCTTATCATGGATCAAAACTTTTCACTAAGTGTTCACTTCTTTTCTCTCTTCTTTCCCTCTAAATAAATATTATTCTTAAGATTACGAAGTTTGTGATTAAGACAATAACTTGTGTTACACTTAAATCGAATTCTCAGACCCGTTTTATCTTCACTATGCATATATGACTCATACATGTTGATATTTTATTATCCTCTTCATTTAACTGTAACTTTCATAGCATCACTCGAAACTATGACTGCACAAACATTTATTCTAGCGTCATATCTTACTGCAATTATAAGTTATTTTTTCTTAATTATTTTTGTTACTAATTTAACGATACACACATAGTCGTTTATTCTTGTTCTGTGTTCGTAAACACGCCCATTAGACTGTTTGCGTATTTCACGTCTCCTTTATTTCTATTCCCTTATTTTCTCCATTTTCTTCTTTAAACTCAATTCAATATTCTTCTCAATTGCACCGACCCGATTTATAATTATTAATATTCTACTATTATCGCTCTAAATTTTTTTTAATGGCAAGTATAATGCTGACATTATTGAAAATTGTGTATGATTGCATTTTTTGAAGAAACCCGAAATGGTTTCTTCACAACACTTATGTACCCATAAGATGTTTGTGAATAATAATAATAATAATAATAACTGGGAAAACAGATATTCGACATTTAAAACGGAGAAAAGGCCAACAATGGGGGACGCGGGCACATCCAATCAATCGGTAATGTGGCTCAGCCTTGCAGACGTGATCATTTTGTGTGACGTGTCTTTATTCACACTAAATATACTATTCTATACTTAGCCCAAACATGTTCGTCAAAAGCGCTAGATGTTATATTGCCTAATCTTACTATATGGCGAGTCGGCGCAGAAGATAATGGGACTTCCACGCAAGCTCTCATAAATTAGGTAGTCACATCACGAAAAATCTACAAATTTGGGATGAGGTCTATTACTAGAGTGATACTAATAACGAACTAGATCAGAGTTCTACAAACACACTAGTTCTGTGTTTAAAGTAACTGTAACCCTTTACTACCTTACACTTGACCAGGAAAACACCAATGAACCAAAAGACAAAAATCTGATTTAAAATGTGGTACTATAAAGGTATGAAAATTCATATAAAATAGTACTTGTTATGCAAACACCTGAATAGTTTCGCAATGGATATAGTCTAATTTTTATTTAACAAAGTCAATGCAATTACGAGCTGAAAAACAAAAGTCTCCTGCCCAACAAAAATCGACATTCTGCACCTCGAGGACTTAGTACAGTCAAACCACAAGGTATCAGTGAAATTAATTTTATTGGATTAAAGGGGTAATAATAATTTTGTTGATGTATAATTAAGCTCCAAATTATCCGTCGGTGATTATTTCAGGCCACTTGAACTTACCCCAAGAATAGTTTCAACTGAAAGTAATACTTAAAAGAAAAGTATCGTCAAAGTAGAAGTAACTCTTTCAACTAACGACGAGTCTCGTGTATATTAGGTAACTACAGAGGGAATAAGTGATTTAAAAATTTCCACTTTAGACGTAGAGATTAGTCAAAATCACCTAACTGTGTCCTAAGTGAAAATGGGTCACAAATTAGCATTTGAAACTGACTTCTTCATCTTTTCAAGAGTTGATTTCGCCAGGATGCAGTTATTTTCTACCACTAGGGATCTCGATAGTGGTATGGGCAAAACTTACCTTGAGGTTGGGGTTACGTTGAACTTCAGCCAAGTGTTTTCTGGACGTCTGGTGGTGAACGAAAAAGAGATCAAAGTCAGTGTACGTTAATATGGGGACATTATTGAGAGCCCACGGTGGAGCCATGCAAGCGTGGTCACGCTACGTACCCCATTCGCTTATGCAATAAGCATATTATTTCGTCGTTAAGACTGCACTCGTTTTTTGAAGGTTTCTAGGGAGAAGAAAATTTCAACCACAAGGTAAGTCTGCTTAGATTGAATAGTGAAGTTATTCCAACGTAAGATCATATTGATTAGAGAGTCCACATACGTCCAGCTAAACACATTAGAGTATGATTATTGGTCTGGTGATATAATTAAGTTCAATAATAGTGGTCCCTTACTGATGCTACTTTAATTTTGACGTTTGATGCCCCATTCGTAGAGCAGTCATTGTTTATCACAAAGACTGTCGGTATGTGGGAATTAGTGTGAACATAACTGTATAATGTACTTATTATATAGTTGTGACTATATAATCTAACTCGGAATTTTACACTATAACTGTGTGGCTGGCATCGGATGAAAAAGAAACTAAACAAATAAGACAATGAAAGATATAGTTAATAATTTTCTTAACACTTTACTCTCTTGATGCCTTCCTTATTCTAAATTTGACTTCCGTTCCATCATTTGAACCTACACCAACTTCTTAAATATCATAACTTATTGTTCTTTATTATTGAATTCTCTCATCTGGAGCCTCTAATCACATTTCACTCTAGTAACTAGAGCTAGAATGAAGTTAATCTACTAATTTATCATACCTATCTGTTCCACTACAAAATGTTAAATATTGTTCACCGTTTATATCCAAGTGCCTTGTTGCTCCTCTGTTTCTCTTTTTTCAAAATATTCAACTAAGGACGCAGCTACGGAACTTCTGACGTCTGAAACAAACTCGATGTACGTGATTTCTCAAGATCATAGTTCACACCAAGCGCTCTACAAATTTACTTTATAACAACCATAAACTTAAAAAGTATTGCATAAATACTTGACATGACCAGAATTCTAACACAGTTGTGCAAGGATTGGGTCTGGTGTGTAAGGTAGACCCAATTCCACTTTGGAAAATATATTATAGACCGTACTCAGTGTAATACTGAAGCATAAACCTAATCAATAAGGCTTAACGAAGAGGAAGTTTAGTCCTAACGTGATTTGTATTTCTCACGATTTTACTGTGTCCTCACGCAACAAAAGCACCATTTCTGATCTGAAGAATCTGTCCTGAACTTTACGCTCGGCAGATTACTCAGGTAATACCCAGATACTGGAGACTAAACACAACAGAATGCAAACGGACGTCGATTGCCACCTGGAATCCACATGCATCCGGATAAGACATACGAAGCTAGGACCAAACACAAAGGCAAGTTGGTACTGACCATTCCACTTGTGGACTGTCTAGATGATAAAAAAACGTGTAAAGGAAAGGGCCTACCACTTCGGCAAACCTCATGTAGGTGGGCTACATGTCCATTCACGTATGGCTCATACAGACAAACAGGACGAAGCTCACGCGTTCCAAATAGAAAGCATAGGCTGCTTATACATGAACCCCGCGAGTCTACCAAACAAATTGAATGAATTACGTGAACTTAACAACGCTAAGAAGGCCCATCTGATATGAATATCTGAAACCTGGATATCTTCTCAGTTCTCGGACCAAGAGTTAGCATTACCTGGGATGTCTTTGTTCCGCAACGACAGAAAATCAGGAATTGGGGGCGGAGTAGCCGTATACATACGTTCTTGCTTGGAGGTGCACCAAGTTCATAACCTCGAGTTTAACAATCTTGAGGAATCCATATGGTACTCTGTAAGATTGTCTAGTACTTCGAGGTCTAGTCGGAGTCATTTACAAGAAGCCAACTGCCGACATCGAGTACGATAGTTGTATGCTGAGAGGACTATCCCGCTCTAATCGTCTCGGTTTCACACACATCCTGATTCTAGGGGACTTTAATCTCTCTAGATTCAACTTCGCGGATCACACGTATACTGGAGGCGATAACTCAACTGAAGTTCGGTTCTTCAACCTCATCGAGGACTTGGGATTTCACGAAAATGTCAGGTCGGCAAATCGTTGGAGAAACAGTCAGACACCGTCGCGCTTAGACTGTGTATTCACAAACGGAGAATTCCTAGTTGACAACCTCTCAATCCTGGCTCCCCTGGGAAAAAACGATCATGCCGTCATAGCCTTCAGTTTTGTCAGCAAAACTAAGCTAAGGTATCCCACCAATAACTTGCGTTGGAATTTTAAACGGTTGAAAGTGCCAATTCTACACAACTATCTACAACAGGTGGTTTGGGATGTTCACACTCAACTCTATGTGGACGGTCATCGGGACTTCTTACTGCATACACCCTTATGTGCTACAAACCGTTCAGTTTCTCAAACGGTTCCCAAAAGCTGCAAGCCACCTACAATAATCAAGAGCCGTACCCTTCGCCTGCTAAGTCGCAAAAGGCACTGTTGAGTGGAATACAAACGAACTGACAACGACGGAGCGTACAGGCAATTTAAACATGTAAGGAACATATGAACGAAAGCTATAAAAGAGGACAGGCTTCAGTACCAGACAAAGCTTATGGACAAATTTGTCTCTAATCCTAAAAGCTTATTCTGTTATGCAGCCTTTCTTCGTCAAGCCAAAACTGGAGTTTCCCAACTGCTAGGTCTTAACGGCCCGACCAACAACGATGGCGATGCCGCTAACCTTCTGGCTGAACATTACTCTCAGACATTTCAACCGACCCACATCAACTTTGCTGATGACAGTTTCATATGCAATTCTACAGGACTTACCGAAGTGAACCCAAGCTCTGACTTGGTGTTCCGGAAATTGCAGCATTTAGGATTAGACACTTCTCCTGGCCCGATTATGGTCCATTCTGCCATACTGAGGGAAGCAGCCTCAATCCTGGCAATTCCGCTTAGCGTCATGTTCTCACACTCGCTAAGCCGAGGCAAATTACCGGGAAATTTGAAGTTGGCTCACATCACACCAATTTACAAAGGTTGTCGACGCAATGAACCTTCAAGCTATCGGCCGGTGGCTCTTCTTTCATTACCTTCAAAACTCATGGAGTCCCTGATATGCGATGGTTTAAACGACTATCTACTGTCCTTAAATTTCTTCTCACCCCAACAGCATGGTTTCAGGAAGGGCTACACTTGTATAACCAACCTGCTGACTGCGGTGGACAGATGGGCAAGCATCCTTGATCGCAAGGGAAAGGTTGATATCATCTACCTAGATTTCTCAAAAGCTTTTGATAAGGTTAGCCACTTGTGTCTTATCAATAAGCTCAAACGACTAGGTATCAAACCACCTCTAATCGATTGGCTTACTTCATACCTAAAAAGTCGACACTTTAAGGTTAGGGTTAATTTCACTTTATCTCAGGCTATGGAATGTCCTAGTGAGGTCCCCCAGGGCTCAATACTAGGGCCTCTTCTCTTCTTGATCTACATAGATGATCTTCCTCAACAGTTAACGTCAGACTTATTACTTTTTGCCGACGACGTGAAACTTTGGAGAGAGATACGCAACCAAGGCGATATACAGGCACTTCAGGAGGATCTGACTCGACTCCAAAGTTGGGCGGACGATAACGGACTTATCTTTAACACTTCAAAGTAAAAAGTAGTCCGTCTGCGACATGTCGCAAACTACAGTTACAACTTAGGATACTCCCCTCTAGTAGTATCCCAAGTCGAAAAAGAATTGGGATTCCTGGTGCCCCATGTTTTTAAGTCTTACACTAACTGTGACAAAAATGCCTTCCGAGCAAACCTTGCACTGGTAACGTTGAGGCGCAATTTTGGACAGTTTGATGGACGAACTTTCCATACAATCTTCAATAGTTTCATCCGTCCCTATTTAGAGTACGGAGACATAGTATTTCCTCCCTCACTCCAAAAGGACAAGGTCACTTTGGAGCGTATCCAACGGCGAGCCACGAAATCAGTTCGAAAACTCAAATCTAAACCTTGCGAAGAACGCCTCCATTCACTAGACCTTTACCCATTAGAGTATAGGCGTCTTAGAGGTGATTTATTAATGGCTTATAGTATTCTTAACACTTCTGGACATCCTCTTAAACACCTACTTAAGCTTAGTTCGAATAATAACCTAAGGGGTAACACCCAGAAACTGGAAACACAACATAGCAAGACGGAATGTAAACATAACTTCTACTCCTTAAGAGTTGTCAAAAGCTGGAATTCGCTGCCGGCCGAGCTAGTCCAAGCGACTTCTCAGGAGTAGTTCAAGAGGAGACTTGACCTATTCTTAAGGACCAAGGACAGCATCACACTATGATTTACCAATTTCTTTTCCTCTTTTATTGTTAACATACCCAGGTTCCTGCCTGGAGGATTTGGTGATCCCCTGCTACTAGACGCGGAAGCCTGTTAAGCGAAAGCTTCTTCTATTCCGTCCACAACCATTTGAACCATTTGAACCATTTCTGATCGTTAGCATTGGTTACATGGATCCACGTGAGGTTGGTTAAGGTAAAAACCGTATGATAAGAATGGACAATTTCTGTAATCCTGTAGTCATCCACTGTTGCAAGTAAAGTGTATTGCCTCTGGTTCCTAACTACACAATTTGTGGGGTTGAATATATAATTACTAAGACGATTTACGTTAAAGATTCAATGCCTTCGGATGGTCAAATATGATGAACGCGGTGACAGTTAATCTTTTCATATTAAACATGTCACTTTATCTCCGGCTAAAATGTGTTCTTGGGTAGTGCAAAATATCATATTGTTGATTGTTACGATATAACGAGTCAGTATAAACAATGACGTGACTTCCACGTAAGATCTTACAGACTGAGAAGTCACGTCATGAAAAGTCGAAAATTTTGGGATCGGGTCTATCATTATGGTAGCATATCCGTGTGATAATACCGACTTGGACCATTATTATACATGAGAAGCCGTGGAGACCTTGTAGAATTATGGTCTACTATGATATTTGTACTGCTCTGATGATGGACTTATTCCTAAAACTGTACATTTGTCATAATGTGTCTGCCTTATCTATAAGATCTTACGTGGGTGTCACATCACTGTCCACACTGACCTATCGAATCGTAACAAATACCAATATATGATGGAGAACACATTTAGGCTAGAGATAGATCAATATATTCAATACGAATAAAAGGTATATAACAATACCAAACGATGAATACGTCTGGAAGGCCGAGCCATGCCATCCAATCAATTCGAAATGATTCAGTTCCTTGTTCCCGCTTTT